AGTATGTCATTGATATGGAAATTATGAATGTACAATTGCAAGAGAAACTAAAATTACCCAACCTATTTTAAGTTATTATGAGTTATGCAACTTACTTGTCATCTGCTGTACAGTTCTCAGTATCATATACAGACTTCAATGAAATGCTAGATGTCAGCTCAGAAAGAAGCAAAGATAGTAGGCTTGAGAACTGGTAGGTGACTCCAAATGGCATTCTGGAGATGACAAAGCTTCTGATTGATTGGACCTCTTCCAAAGAAAGATGTCTGGCACCTTACTCCAAAGAATTCCAGAAGCTCAGGGGAATCCATTCCAGACTGTTCAAACATCAGATAAGAGTAGGTAGAAAAATCACTTGACCTGAACAGTTAGCAGATGACTTAGGATGACAGGAGCAGTGATAGAGCTGGGCCTGGAGCCAGTGGCTTGCAGCAGTCCTGACCTGATGCTTCTTTCTTTCTTCTAACCATCCTGCTGAACGGACCATGTGACCTTAGAGCCAGGACGGCCTTCATAAAGCATCCTGACAAGTCATCTATGTGTTTGGGTCTGATCTTAAATAAACTGTTTCCACGTGGATCCTATAAACTATTCCTAGGTGCGCATGCTTGTACGGAGCTGTCTCACGTTCTCTTTACTCATTGCATCTTGGACCACAAGCATTTAGCTGTCTTACTTTACAGCACCCATAAATTGACTTGTGAAATGAGCTCAAGCCAGGGAGGGGAGGGCACCTGTTACCTGCCCCAGCAGCACACAGGTCAGACTCCTGTAGATGCATCCCCACCCCATGCCCAAACTTGGCCACAGTGGCCCCCACGCTCTTCCGTCTGTAGTGACAACTTATTGGGTCAGCCTTCTCAGGCAGGGCCAGTCTCCAAACTCGCAGACCCGGGTACAAAATGAAAACACAAGCTGCTTGTTCTAAAGGCCGGGAAAAGGTGGTGTTTGATGTAGTCCACTACAAAGCTTTACTCTTTCCTCCTAGCTTCTCTCTCTCTCTCCAATTGTCAGGGTGGTGGGTTTTTTGTTTTTTTTTTTTCCTGCTTTTCACTTACTGTCATTCTAAGTCAAGAAAAATTGCATTTTAAATTATTCATTTGAAATCATTAGCATGAATCTTACTGATCATCCTTATACTGTGCACTGCAGGTTTTTGATACAAATCTGAGAGCATTTAACACATGTGGGATCTCTGAAATGGCACAATTCATGTTTTGTAACTAGTACTTGCATTCATATGTTGTTCTAGGCAGAACCGTGGAAATGCTGCACAAAACTAACTAGGTTGTTTTTTTGTTTTGTTTTGTTTTTTACTGGGGACTGAACCCAAGGACATTCTACCTCTGAGCTAAAGGCCCAGCCCTTTTTACTTTTTATTTCCAGAGAAGGTCTTGCTAAGTTGTTGAGGCTGGCCTTGAATTTGCCATTCTCCTGCCTTGGCCTCTTGAGTCACTGGTATTACAAGCGTGTGTACCTGGCTTGGTTGCATTTCATGATATGAGTACATTCTCTCTCTCTCTCTCTCTCTCTCTCTCTCTCTCTCTCTCTCTCTCTCAATGCTGTATTATTTATTTATTTATTTATTTTTATGTGGCACTGAGGATCTAACCCAGGGCCTCCTAGGTGCTAAGCCAGCGCTCTACCGCTGAGCCACAACCCCCCCCACCCCAACCCCCCCACTGAGTAAATTCTCTTAACACTCCCTCCCTTGGCTTGCTGATGAGTAATAAAGAACTCAAAGAAAAAAAGAACTCTGGGCTGCCCTGTCTTTCCTTCTATAGTGTCTTTTTCAGCATAAGTGGTTGGCCAAGTTATAGGGAAGCAATTTGAGTAAGAAAGGATGTGTTAGTTTCCTTGGGCATCCATGCCTTAAAACTCCATTACCTTCTTTTTTCATTCAAAGCAAGTTGTGATTTGAACAGAAAGTGTCACCTTTTCAGAGGGCTGGCACCAGTACCTATTCGGTCCTGGACGTTCCATGCTTCCGTTGTACTGACTTTGAATCTAACTGAACTCCCTGTGTGTCATGGGCCCATCAGAATTCTGGACTAATGGGCCATTGTGAATGTGATATGCAAATGGGGTGACAAGGAACACATAGCTCCTCTGCCTGGCATGGATGAAAACCCTGGCTTTCATCCCCAGCACTGCTCCAAAAAACAAAGCAAGACAAAATTAAAAAAAAAAAAAAAATGACCATGTTTGGGGGAGAAAATAATGAGTGGTGGCATAGTTGTTCTGAGTGTCGTTGGTGACCTACCTCCACTCAAGTGTGTGCTGCATTGCTCCATTGGACACTATGTGCAAAACACAAGTTTGAAGTGAAATTACTAGAAATTTCAGGACAATGGCATCAGAGTATTTGGCCCATGCTTGAGTTTGAGGGCAGAGATCTATATAAGTTGCATTTCCGCGAAGCTGGACCTTGCTCGTGTGGTTCTATGACATGAAGAATGGAATTCCATTGTAATTTTAAAACATTAGAGGCAAATCTAATTTGGTCTTGAGTGCCTGTAGGTGTTAGCAATGCCCTTCAGATTCCAGAAGCCAGTTTCATCCATGTTTTAAAGAGTAGTTAAGTATCCTTGGAGGCACATCTTTTTAAAATCCCATTGCTTTATCCATCTCAGTTCCATTTATTTCTTTGCATCTAAGACTTCACATCCAAGCTAGCTGTCCTCAGGGAGGGCTTTGGGATGTATTGAGGACAGACACACAGAGGTCTGGGGCCGGGAGGCAATGGGGGTAGGAAATGCCCTTACAAATCCAGTCAGGCCATGCAGGGGCACAGAAGTGAGCCCCTCAGGGACAGAAAAAGATCTGGAAGGATGTGAAATCAGCTAGTCGTCCTTCTGGCCACCTCTCCCTTGGACCTGTATGTTATTGGTGGGAGCATGAAGAACTTCCAGAACAGAAACAGCATTTTGTCAGTACCATGTAGGAGGTGTCGTGCTGAGACTCTGCAATATTTCACTTGTGCTTGCTAACAATAGCCTGCTGGGGGAAGTTCTCTTATGAGTCCTCTGTTAGTTGATGATGAAGCCACAGCTCAGAAAGGTCAAGTGGCATGGTAAGGCTGCTCAGAACTGGGCTGGAAGGGATGGTGGGTGAACATGAGGGTGTGATATTCTTACCCAGCTGGGGAGGTGTGCAGCCTTAATCCCCCAGAGGTTGTAGGGAGAGTGTCAGATGACCATGCTTTGTGGGTAAAGTAACGAATGTTGGGATGGCTGTTCTGGGTGAGTCATTGGTGATGTGGACTCTGAGTTTGATAGGTCATGGCTGCTAGCCAGGCCCAATCCTAGCAGCTTGGGAGGCTGGGGCAGAGGGATTGTAAGTTCAAAGCCAGCATTAGCAACTTAGTGAGGCCCTAAAAAAGCTTAGGGAGACCCTGTCTCAGAATAAACTATAAAAAGGGCTGGGGATGTGGCTCTGTGGTTAAGCACCACTGGGTTCAATTCCTGGTATCCAAAACAAAACAAAACCCAGAACAGTTGATGGCTGCTGATCACCTTGTCACCTCACGTAGCTAGCTTTGGCTCCTGTACGGTGGTTTCGTGACTCTTAAGTTCCCAGCTTTAGCATCCAATGGTCAAGGTTCAGCTCTGACTTTGACCAGCTACATGACCTTGGCCAGGTTCCTTGGACTCTCTCTTGGTTTTTCCATTCATACAAGGGGGATAATGAGGCCCATCTCTCAGTACTGTCATGGAGGCAACAATATGAAAGAATATTGGGTGAAGTTCCACAATATTCTGATGCAGAAGGCACTCTCAGCCCCTGCCCATTGGCCTCTATTCCACTTAAAGAGCTACTGTCATATCTCACATCTGGATGCTGTGAGTCCTCTGGAGACAGCACTGAACCCAGTCACTGGGCCACACATCTAGCCAGCACCTTTGCTTGATCCCTTGCTGGCATTTAGTTTCCTTGTGACTTGGTGGCAGTTGTGGAGGTATATGTATAAGGTTTGGGAAAATACAACTGGCCTTTCCATTGCTCAGATCAGTGTGAAGCGACCACAGTCAGAGGGATCCAGGGCCTGCCAGAGAGAACACCTTCCCCAGCAGCCCAACAGAGAGAAACTCGTTAATCTGTACTTTTTTTTTTTTTTGGTACCAGGGATTGAATTCAGAGCCACTTGACCCCTGAGCCCCGTCCCCAGCCCTATTTTGTATTTTATTTAGAGACAGGGTCTCACTGAGTTGCTTAGTACCTCACTTTTGCTAAGGCTGGCTTTGAACTCTTGATCCTTTTGTCTCAGTCTCTGAAGCCACTGGGATTACAGGCCACTGTGCCCGGCTAATTTGTACCTTGACTTGACTCTTTCAGGGAAAGATGACGGCAGCCTCTGCATGTACAGGGCAGGGAGCCAGCTTCAATGGCGTAGCGGCAACAAGGAGTTTTCTTGATGTGCCCTGAATTCTTAAAGGGATCTTTAAGGGTCGTAAAGAGATCACTCCATCTTTAGTCCTACCCTGCTGGTCATATCTTTTCAACTTCTGAGGTTTTACAGCAAGGACATCTTGTGATTTACCCTTGAATTTGAAAACATCTGTCTTCCTTTGGCAAAGCAGGCCTTGAGGGCACACTGTTGAAGGTTAGGGTTGGTCCAAGTTGCTTTCTCCAACCTGAGTGGGATCCAGGTGTCTTTCCAGTGGAAAGAGATGACATTTACAGAAGGTGACATTGATCATGGAGAGACACAGGGGACTTAGACCACTATGAAGACACAAGAATGGAGTTCCCCTAGGAGCCTCGCTAAAGGAGACGGGCTTAGGGCTGTGCCTCGGGAGGAAAGTTGAGGCTGGGAAGGCACTATAAGTGAGGTTTTGGGCAGGTGACATAAGGGGAGTCCCCAGCAGAGCACCTCAGTTTCCCCCAACTTTGTACGTAAGATATCAACTCTGGTTAGGAGAACACTCCAGGCTCTGTGGTTTTTGGTGACAAACCACTCTGGAGGCATGAGTCAGATCCCAGTAGCTGTGGTTCAAAGCTAACAAAGAGAGGTTTGGGAGACCTGCCCTTGTTCATATCAACCTGGTGCATGCTGGGAAAACGACTTAATTGGGAGCCTTGGCAGGAAGAGCTTATTGATGGTGTTCTACTCTTAATGAGAGAATCTGAGTTCCCCATGGGCTGTGATAATTAATCAGGAAGATTGTTGTCGGTAGATGAGCTGTCTGTCTCCTGACCTATGCCTTGTGTACGCAGAAAGGAATGGAAACTTCCTTTCTTTATCAAAACCACTTAAAAAAAAATCATCTGGTCCTCATTTCTCTGGTTTTGTTTGAGTCTGGTTCTGTCATGTTAGGGTTCATTCCCAATATGATGACACGTAGAGGAAGGGCATTGTCTTGCTCATCCCCTGGGGTCTCTGATCCCCTGAAAATTCTACCTCATTTAAGTCCCCAAGCAACCCAGACTCAGGGCAAGCTGTCTACCTTACTAAGTAAAATAAAGAACATAGTCAGGTGTGGTGGTGACGCATACCTAGTCCCAGTGTGTGGTTTAGATGTGAGATGTCCTCCAAAAGCTCATGTGTGACACAATGCAAGAAAGTTTAGAAGTGAAATGATTGAGTTATGAGAGTTTTAACCGAATTAGTGGATTAATGCACTGATGGATAACTGGGTGGTAACTGTAGGCAGATAGAGTATGGCTGGAAGAGGTGGGTCACTGGGAGTGTGCCTTTGGGGTATATATTTTGTTCCCTGGAGTGGAGCTGCCTCTGTTTTCTGGTGCCATACTCTGAGCTACTGACCTCCCCTATGGCCTTCCACCATGATGTTCTGCCTCACCTCAGGCCCAGAGTCGAACATCTATGGTCTGAGACCTCTGAGACCATGAGCCCCAAATATACTTTTACTCCTCTAAAATTGTTCATGTCAGGTCTTTTGGTTGCAGCAATGAAAAACTAACTAAAATACCCAGTGATTTATGAGGCTAAGGCAGGAGGATCAAAAAGTTCAAGGCTAGCCTCTGCAACTTAGACCCTGTCTCAAAATAAAAGGGTGGGGATGTAGCTGAGTGGTATGCCATTCCTGGGTTCAAACCCCAGAATGCCTCCCTCCAAAAAAGAAAACACCAGAGCAAGCATCATATTCCCATATGTCACCCTTAAAAATGGGGTTGATAATCCCTCTCTCTTTGACTGTGATGTAGTCCCAACCAAGTAATAAGAGCATCCTTCTCTGTGCAGGACAGGTTATGCTTTTAACCTGCCCATCACCACCTCTTCTAAGGTGTAATTTTTCAAATGTTGGAGTCCAAATAGATTTTCCTTTTCCATTTTCTCTTTCCATTTTCATTTCAGAGGGGGAAGTATCCCCTCCTGCCACCCGCTGCTGGCCGTCTGCCTCTCCTGTGATCTCAACTCATCATTTATCCACCCCCACTCGCATCTTAAATCTTTCTTTCAATCACTGCCGCCTTTTCAGCATAGAACATTTGGGGGACTTTTCTTGACTGGCTTCTTCCTTTATCTGCCTGCATCTTTCCCTCGCCTTCTCACTCCCACATTTCTTTAGAAAGTGGGCCGCCCTTGCTTCCTCTTCTTCACTTCCCAGCCCTTTCGTAGCCCCTCTATAAATTGGTTTCCATTCCAGTCTCAGTGCTGATGCTGGCAAGCAAATTGGAATTTTCCATTTCAGTGGTCTTTGCCAAGTCCTCGCCTTCTGGCTGCCTTGACTGTGGAACACCCCCTCCTTCTTAAAATTCCCTCCTCCTCTGTGACAGGGCCCTCTCCTGGATCTTCTCCAACATCCTCTACATCCTTTGAGGGTGGTTCTTCCCCCTAAATTAGGTGACACCTGCAAGGTTTTCTTCTCAGCACCTTTTCCCTTGGCTTCACACCTGCTCCCACGATAGCTGGTTTCTTTCTGCTGATAACGCCCAAGTCTTCATTTCCAAACTCGGCCCAGATGGAGCAGCTGCACAGCCATGGTCCACGTGGCTTCTAGCTTCCAAATGTGATAGTCTTTCTCTTTTTCCCCACCTGGTGTGGGCTGAATTGTGTCCCCCACTCCCCACCCCAAATATGTTGAAATCCTCACCTCCAGAGCCTCTGAATGTGCCCTTATTTAGAAAGGGTCTCTGTAGACTTAATCAAGATGAGATGAGGCCATATCTGGTTAGGTAGGGCCTAGTCCAATATGACTGGTGTCCTTATGAGAAGACTCACAGAGACACACAAGGGGAAAAGCAGACGATGCCACAGGCAGAGGTTGGAGTGATGTATCT